CTTCAAGATCTTCCGGTAGATCCTCTTTTTCTCTTGGTGACTGACCAATCACTAATCATTTTTCTATTTTACAGTGTCCTCGGCACCCCCGATGAAGAGCTCTGGCCCGATGTCACTTCATTCCCAGATTACAAGGCGACTTTCCCCAAGTGGAAGCGCCCCGATGCGTCGATTGTCCCCGGCATGGAGCCAGCTGGTCTCGAGCTGCTGGAGGCCCTACTCGAATACGACCCCGCCCACCGGCTTTCGGCGAAGCAGGCCTGCATCCACCCCTACTTCCGGAACGGCAGCTCATACTACTCGGGCCGTCTCAAGCGCAACGGTCGTCAATAAAACCAGCTCGCAAATTCTCCGATCAATTTCATACAATTTACTTCGTAGAACTGCATGTAACATCAATGCCCTGGGGTCATGTTTATGGTGTTTATTTTTTGTTTTCAAGCAGGCGTTTTTGGTGTGGGGGGGGGATGATTATGAGAGGTCGGGCTTGGTACAATTGCTTTTTAAGACGAATCGAATATGACCATTATCTGAGGCGTCAACTCAACGCCTTCTTTTATACTTTGCACGAGGAATCGGAGAGGACATGGCACGTATGTGGTGTGGGACTCGCGTATGCGTAATCGTTAACATGAGGTGCCATAGGCAGGTAATCGGCGTTATCACTGGAGATGTCAAGTGTATCTCATGATTGACAGATAGCGGGTTGAGCAATATATATCTGGAACCCGACATATATTCTACCCTCGCAGAAGGCCTCATTGAAGAGACGAAAGAGGTAAAAGATATGATAATGAGAAAGAAAGAGAAATAAAATCTACATGATTCGTAGGCTCTCGTTTCCCACTCTCATAAATTCAGTCACGTTCCTGTCGACAGCTCTATCAGCCCTGGGGATGCACATCTTGGCTTTAGGAGCTCTCTTGCTCCCAGGGGCTTTAGTGCCGTTTCTGGGGCCAAAGAAGCAGCTTCTGGGAGCCACGTAGCCCCCAGGAATTCCGACGTAGCTTCTGGGGTCTAGTACTTTCACCTCGGGGAACCAAAGTCATGTTCCTGTTGACAGTTTCATCACCTCCTGGAACCTCAGGTGCAGTTCCTGGGGCTATGGCTAAGCCTTTCCTGGAGTAATTGGATGACACAGATTTGTGCGCAGGTCTGGTGAAGGTATCTTGTGAGGGCTTTCCGCGACCTAAGGCAGAATATTGACTCTAGGATCCAGAAGTAGCGCCCCGGGAGCGCGACAGCTCCCAGATCCAGCCATCGTGTTACCAGAGCCAGATATTATTCAGTCAGGAACGTATTGTGAAGATCCCAGGGGTAGAACTCGGTTTCCTGGAAACAGGAACTGGCCCCAGGAGCCAGAGACGAGTTCCTAGAAAATAAACAGCGCCTAGAATCGCTTTTGGCGTTTCCAGGATCAAGCTATTAGGTCCCAGAGCCAGATTAACAATGATTATCGATTGATGTAGACGAGCTGGTTTTAATACGTCGTGAGGCAGTATGGAAGGATTGTCGAGCCTCCCCTGCAGACACTAATGCATGGTAGGAGCTGAAAATCTTGGATGCTGATCCTTTCATACGCGCTGTGATCCAGCACGCATATGTATGTGTTCTTGCAGGGCAAAGAAATGATGCAGATTTAGATTCGCCGCTTCGCTTCTTCATCGCCGAGCCCTTATATCAAAAGCATGAGTCCACTGAAGTCATCCCGCCACAATTGAAGTTGCTGAGCTCTCTTTTTGCTAGCTTCTGTGACAATGCCTCCAAAAAAATGGAATGAATCGTTCGAGACCAATACGGAATTTTTCGATGAGTTTCGATCTCTAGGGCCTGTGGCCTTTGCGCGGTCTTTCTCCAAGAGGGTCCATGCTTCCTATCGAAAGCTCGATATTATTTCATTCTTCATGTTCCTATTGACAGTCTTCTCAACTCCTGGGCTATGTCTTGCCTTTCCGGGGTTTATTGAATAACGCAAATTTGTGCGCAGGTCTGGTGGAGGATTTTTGTGAGTCAATACCCTACCCTTGGAGGCAGAATATTGATTCTAGGATGCAGATATATGGCCCTGGGAGCGCAAAAGCTCCCAGATCTAGCCAATGTGTTCCCAAAACCAAGATTGTATTCAGCCAGGATCGCAGATTGAAGATCCCAGGGTAAGAACTCAGATTCCTAGAACCACGAAATGGCCCTAGGAGCTAAAGAGGAGTTCCCAGAGAATAAACAGGTCCTGGAATTGTTTTGACGTACCCAGGATCAATGATGTCGGCATTTACTTTGGCCGTCGCCGCTAGGTATGGGTGTTTTTTTCCACCACGCGGTTTCGAGCAAAAGCATTTCTAGAATGAAGTAAACTCCCAATATAATTTTTAGGCGTAACATCTAGCACCTAAGAATGTGAAAAAGACGCCAAGTTTACGCGTCCGGCGATAGATGCGTTAAGTGGTACTAAGACACATTCGGTCTCCCGGCGCCCTTGACACGCCACCAGCAACACATCCAGGAGCTAGACTATGGAATCATCCGATAGCCATGACTAATACCTGTTTCACCATTAGTTATTTAAGCCGCTAACCCAGTTTTTGTAGGTTATATAACCCATTCATCCTTTTCGTCTGAGTAAAAACTGTCAGTTTGGAAGTCTTGTTCAGCCACCCCAATGGCACAAACACGCCAACAGACCCGCCAAAAGGCATACTCTCACAATCAAAAAAATGCCACACTCAATTCTCACATCAAGAAGCCGTCTCAAAGATTCAAAGGCCCAAAAAGCCCGGTTTTCAAGTCTACCGTTCCCGCGAAGCCAAAAATCGAGTTTCTCCCAGCCTTGTTGTTGAGCTTGTGCTACCCAGACGAAGATACAACGCTTATACGACTCGAAGATTATCTTCTTGATGAAGAAGAAGCGGAAGAAAGCACTGAACAGATTTATTCTCTGATCAAATCGGTTCGCAAGCTCGAAGTGACAGATCATACCTCCCGCCAGAACGCTCTAGAAGATGAGGTGGAAGCCGAGCGCGCAAAGGAACCTACAGAGACAGAAGGGGAATATGAAAGGCGGATGGGTCGTGTGAGCCATTGGGTTCGATATTGGCCTATTCGTGAGGCAAAATGGATATGGAGAGCTCGGGTGGTGATTGAGGCAATGGGTCTCTTTCTTGGATTGTCGGATGCCCAACATTCTGAACTTAAATCGGGAGCACTACGTCGATTCAACCCGAAAGCATTCTACATGTATTCATGGATCTGTCTGACAGGGGGGAGAGGTGTCAGGGCTTGGGGAGGACGTGGAGGTCCAATACCTCCACCACCTTTGTTATCAAAAGGTCTCTCGATCCAGGAGCAAACAAAGTGGTACTACACCACGGCTCTTGCCCTTCAGGAAGACGTTTTGAACAAATGGAGAAAAGGACAAAACTTGAGCGAAGTTCTTCTGATCAATGTTCCGAAATAAGTCGGGTGCCCAGATGTCTAGATCATTTTACTTCTCAATCTAATCTCAAATCATCGAATGAATTTTTTCCGCCATTCTTGAAATTCCTGATTTTATTGGATAGCTGATCCCTCACTTTCCTCTTACGTTATGCAAGGGCCCTGCCAGATCAACTCTGAAAGGGTGATTCTAGTAATCGAGTACGCTAATCAGCCTCTGCCAGGATAATTTCAAGGCTTGCTCAAAAGAGCGCAGCACCATTCTGTCCGTTTCGTTGAACGCCTCAGAAATCCGACAAATGCAATATTATAGAACCTATAGTCACCAAAAAAAGTCAAAAGAAAATATATAAAGAAATTTAAAAAAAAATTAATAATAATCAAAAGATATCGTTGTGGCTTCATGATCGCAAGTTCGGAAAGTGAGTGTTGACAATGGGTGGCCAAGCTTCAACGGGTGAACTGGTCGACAACGACCTCGCTTTCTGCATTCTAGACGGACAGATCCGTAGCTCAACACAACCGACGCCACACTAAAAGAGAGGTTGAGGGAGAAAAAAATGTCTACTTTTCAGGATCAATTTTGAGGCGCTTTTCAGTGATTCAACGTTGAGTTGCTCAAATATAAGATATCAGAACCAGAAATATGAGCCGGTCATTGCATTTCCCGAAGTCTCAGTTTAAGAGTGCATGAAGGATTCAACAGTTAGCCAACGTTTCTTGACTGACTCAGCATTCTTTTTCTCAACACTACTTCAAATTGTCGCTCTTGCTGAGAATCTCAAGGCATCAAGAATTTTGTTGCAAATAGTTGCGGTAAAAAGAAGACGCTGGCTTCAACAGGCCTCAATTTAGAGGTGTCCGCCAACGCGTTCTACAAAGCAGCGCACGTAGCACGTAGGCGAAAGGATGACCCGAGAAGCCTATAAATACGTCCTCTACTCCCGGCAGTTTGCTCTACAATTCAATCACTTGACTACGCAAAGTCGAGCAGGCATGTGTCTGAGTCACTTGATAAGTTCTCTCCTTTGGCCCAGAATTGAATTCCCCGGTACTGACATTTATAGGATACATCGAGGATTAGCAAGCCAAACAGTGCCTGTGAGAGGTGTCTTCCCAGCAGGTCCACTCTGCCAACCAGCCAGCCGACCAAGGAGACAAGACTTTGGCTGGCGGTCCAAGTATCTATGTGAGGATGTCTCTCCGCCCGCAGCAGTAGACTGAGCTGATCTACTGTACAGCCCCTGTGTGTATCCCCGGGGCAAAAGCGCGAATATGCGCGTCGCAGGTATGTAAATCTCAGTCTGACCCATCTGTAATCCTACTGATCCCGAAGAGGATGCAATTCCAATAGAACCGACATTCGGCCACAAGGCACGAGCGCAAGGACCGCATCTATTTGCCGTCCCTTCGTCCCCAGTGTTGGCCACCAGAACGTGTGAGTCATAGATTTTCTCGCCGATTGACAGGATAATGAATGACAGTGGAACATTAAGATCGCACCAGATGCCCCCTCTCTCTCTCTCTCGCATTCTAAAGGAGTAGGTTCACCACGGGGACATACCCCCAATCTAGGCGTAGGCCAATGGTGTCAGACCGTGAGAGTCTTTCCAATCCACCTCCACCCTCCCAGTCTCAAGGAGTAACTCGACCACGGCTTCATGGCCCTTCTCAGCGGCGTGGGATAATGATGTCCGGCCACTTCGATCTGTGACATTGATGAGATCTGCCTCCTGTCGATAGGTTGCAAGACGAGATGTTTTCAAAAATCCCTTTTGAGCAGCCCATAGTAAAGCTACCCTACCCGTCTGTGAGTCTCGCTTATATAATAGAGGAGCGAAAATGCGATTCATCAAGCAACAAGTTCTAGATAAACAATTGATATCGTGAAGCAATTCGAGATAGTGTCCAACAACGAGCAATAATTCGATTGGTAAGTTGTTAAGACTCATCCTGAAAGTTCGATAACAACTCTTTCATTTATGGTGGGATAGCGAAAGAAACAAAGGGTTTAAGTCAGCTGGATTTTCTTGTTCGGGAGCAATGTAGTTGAAATGATGCAAAACAGAGGGAGGAGAGGGAAGGTCTAAGGTTGAAGTACTGTAAAATCGGTTACAGTTAGGCTCTCGCACAATCCAGTTCTGGGTCGAACCCCTGACCCAGGCCCGGCTGCTGGGGCTCCAGAAACCCCAATAATAACCCAGTTCGACCCAATTCCTGCATAAAATCTTGTATAACTATCCGAGTAATCTCCTGTAACTTTGCTCTGTTTTGGTTTGTATACAGGATGATTGGATGGTTTCTATTACAATCACCACAACGGCCAATCGAAGCAGTCACATTCTCACTTGAGTCGGTCTACTTTTCAGCAGGCAGCCGACAGTGTATTCAGCAATAGGGATATCAGCCGGGGAACTGATCAAGCCTCACGATGTTGAGGGCCAGGGATCAACGCCTGATGAAGATATTTATTTCAATCAGACACCTCTTTTCCTTTAGTTGAGCGCCTCAGAAATCCGACAAATGGAATATTGTAGAACTTGTCACCTCTGTGGCCATGTCCTGGGGCGGGGCGCTGGTCTGGAGTTTGGTATATCCCATAACCTCCATGGCGGAGTATTGGAAGTTGCCGCTGTACCACATGCCCTGGGTGGATATCATATCTGCGGAGAAATAGCGACTAATCAGGAGAGGCCTAGTTCCAATTTAGCAGGTTCGGGTCTTGCACTGTAAAGGGAAGAGATGGAATTTGCCTATAACACCTTTCAATGATGGGGCAATGTGTCCCTTAATTTGTCTCGAATGAGTAGCACGACTGGTGTGGGCACTACAGAACGTCATCTAGAAGACGGTAATGTAACTACGTATCAGCAAACACTTCATATTTCGAGCAAATTATCCAAGCATAACATTTCTAGTAAGCGATGCGGGCCCAGCACGCGACTTCGCTGAGGATTGTACATTGTGAACTTTCTGCTTTGCCCTTCGGGGTATTCATACACTAGGTGTGTGGCAAGGTCTGGGGGCCGTCTCACCTAGGCATATCTATTAGGCTGGCGCGAAAGAGGAGAGATGATTTGGTCAGCTACGATTTGAATACAGTTGTGAGGCTGTAACAAAAAGCCAACTCTCACTCTATCAACAGTGGAGGCATGCTGCCAGCTCTGCGGGATCACCAAATCTCACTCCAGGAGAGGAGAAATCTTCAAATTCCACCTGAATTGACCACAAATCATCCACCTTTCTCAGATCCACCAGTGTTCCTGATTTGAGAGGCAGATCATATCTCCAAGGAAATTCTATCAGCACCCCACTGGTGCGAACAGATACCCACTTCTGGAGCTTTTTGGCAATCTTTGCTGAGCTTTTGATGGCGCTGTCCTTGGAATATACCATTTCCCAATCCAAAAACTCCAAAATAGCTCTTCCGGCTGTCCCGTTGAGTGTGGATTCACGAGATGTCTGCATCATGCCCGTGTAGATCTGTGGGATGGAAAACATACGGCATTCACTAGGAAACAAAACCTCGCAGTTTTTTGAAAGCTCTCTAGTACACGGGCAAGCAAAATATTGTTCATTCGACTGTGTAACGATTGCAACCACCACTGCAGCCATTAGCTATAACCCTGTACTATTTGATATTCTAGACGAACCTTGATCGGTGCCATGGTAAATTGTCCACGAAAGATTAGCATTTGGAAATGATAGCGTAGGAATCATGAAATCAAAATCGCAAGGTGAATCAAGGTGCTCATCCTTCCTGAAAGCAGTATCAAGTTCAGGCATTGAAGGCGCTTCGTAGATAGGGAATTCCATGAGAAACTGAATTTTCTGTCTGACGGGTACGAAAAGATTTATACGCGTAACCTGAAACAATGATCGTACCTTGTTCTGCCTAAATGAGACCGGAATGGAACGGAGAAGATTCTCAAGGGCAGGAAACTAGCTAACGGAACTGCAGGTCTGGAAAATGAAAAATTCATTACCTGTCAAGACTAATTCTGAACACCGATTGGATGCTGGGGTAGACCTCCGGGTGCAGATAGTTACTTTGTGGAGTTTAAGGACTTCTCAACACGGAAAACCCACTAGGTCTAGAAAAAGTAAAGAATGACAGTTTGAGAGCACTATTTTGGTATTTTGGGTGTGTGATGCATGGCAGGCCTTAGGTGGTGGAGTGATTTATCCGCTTGATTACGGTAAAGAATGATCTTGATATTTGAAGAGCAGTAATAACAAGGCTCTATCTCCAACGCTGCAGGGGCTACCAATATTACCCAATCCCCTTGGTGGGACCAGGATCTTATATGTTCCTCCTCTCCAGAACTAGACTCCCTTGGAGAAAACTTATAGTACGTAACATTCTCAGCTCCGTTGACTGCTTGATGAATCCTGTGCTCTTCGGCTCCCATTTTGGTAAAGATCGCGCGGAAAATAGGACAGGCTTAACGTCTTTGTTGCCAACACATCATCTCTCCTATTGGCTTTGCAAAGCGTGATAGAGTTTGATATCAATTAAATGGTACTATTCACAACCAAAACACTTTTCGACACCTCCATCTCCCCCTCGAACATTCCTATGGTCTCAGATATCTTCATTCCACTTATAACAGTTCCAGCACGTGTGGAACCCCATTGCCGTATTTTTTTATCCATGATTTTATAAGCGAGATGAAATTTCCAATCTGCTCCCAGGTGTGTCTGAATCTGTCAGAAATGAAACAAAATCGCCAGGGCTACATACCTGCTGGTTTTGAAGCCATTGAAGTGCACATCTTGCCATAACAAACGGATCGCTTCGGTTCATGATCGTTTCACGGCGATGCTGTTGAACTAAGTCGAGGAGGCAGGGTATAAAGGTTGCTGAAGGACGAGACCGCAACTTATATCTTGCTCTTCACTACCATTTGTAAGTCTTGTAACGAAAAGGCCGAGGTAAACACACATAGAACAAAACTTCTCGATGGCGACAAGTAATTACGCAGAGCAGAATAGTAACATAAAGGATTAAAGAATGCCATATGAAAGCGCCGAGAGAAAGGGTTTCCAGCTCCTGGTCACGCATGGTGATGGACATGCCAATTTGGTACATTTTGGTGTACTTGTATTATTCGTGACAGCAAAACCACAACGCGCAGCCTTAAATGTTCCTCCGGGAATAAGATTCCAGCATGCAAGTACCTGCATACTTCCCTTGTAGTGTGCATTCTGAATTGCTCGTCACCCAGCTCTAGACTTGCGAATATCTTCTAGTTGAATTACCAACTGCTAGGAGGGGTGGTTTTGTTCGATGCTAAATGTAATTCGTGAATATTTGCTGGAAGAAAGCCTAGGTTAGAAATTTATATAATCCTCATTATAGATTATCCAGACTTTAGTTTGACGCCCCCTATCCTGATTTCAAAAATAGAACGGTGTTGATTTGCCTTAAGTGACTCTACGTTGGTCTGGAAATGGAAAACAAAGCGACCTACCGCACGCGCTCTAGTGCTGATCAATACCTGTTAGGTCTCGAGAAGCAGCAGGTTTCTGAAAATGCGGCGGTACAGATTGTACTGCTGAGAGTGACTTCATTTCATTGTGGGAAGTTTCTTACGTGGTCTCAGATATGGTAATGATATGAATTAGCGTAGATGACACTACTTTGATCACCCAATATCTGGAGCATAACAGCTGTTGGTTGTTTTCTTGAGATGACCTCACAATAGTGAAGAGGAGAATACCTTAAAGTCCATGCCCAAACATTGTCTTAAACAGCACCCTCAAAGTTCGCCTTCTTGCTTCCCCGATTTGGACTATATCCCTTCTGATCAATAGTAACCGAGCTTTTCTAGGCGTCTGCCAATGTCTTGCACTGTGTCCTCATACCAGTCCTTCAAATTCACAGGCATCTCATATCCCCAAACTTTTGCGAGACTTTGCCTTCTTCCATACTCGTACAGATATTTTGAATGTAGGCGCTGGAAACAAAGACCCTTCTTCGCTTCCGGGTCCTTTGTCGGTTGTTTCGAGATAATCGGATCGTCGCTGCTCAGAGGAACGAATTTTGGAATTCCATATTTCCCCCAAACTCGTGAAATACCAGTCTCGAGAACCGCAAGATCGACTAAAAATGCATGGTCATCATGGGCTCGATGGTTAGCACCAAGCTCTTGAAGAACAATGGCATCAAGAACCACATCATCGAGGCCGTTGTTTTTGATATCTTCCATAATTTCGATTCCATTAGGAGGAAACCATATTCGCACGGTCTGTTTGGTTAGAGGCTTGTGTAGACATGGAAGAGAGGAACACTTACGTGCAAGCGTTGTGGCACTGGACCTTTTGCAGGAACACCAGAGCTTGAATCTGTCATCAAGATAGACTGTTCTTTCGGCATCATAGGAATACCTGAATTCATGGAATCGGTAATCGAACTTCGATTGGAATCTGGTCCTCCGAATAAAACCGTCTCACGCGGGTTGTCTGGGGATAGAATGCGCGGTATGAAAGTTAAAAACAGGGAACGAACTTTCGTTATGCTCAAACAGGTCATAACTCACATTTGATGAAATCTTGATAGAGGATGCGAATGAATAATTGAGTGTCAAAAACAGTCTTTATACTACAACCAGCAACGTAGGCTTGTCTTTCTTTGGTTGAGGTTTGAATCGAGGTGTCAGCGTCGGGTTGATTTCTCACTGTGGTAGTACAAGAGTTACTTAGTTCGGCTTATTTTACGGATTGGAGCCATAATAGTAGCTGAACATCTACTAAAATGCGCCAAAATACCCCTTGGGCTTTAGCGCGCAAATAATGAGTAGCTTTAGAGTATAATGTAAAAGCAGACTATTCATTATCGAGTATGCCTTGGGACTATGCAGAATCCTGAGCATATTCTTCGGACCGTCACTGGTCCGTAATTATAACTAACAGTTGGAATCGAGTCCAACATGAGGCTGTCTGTATTGCTGAAGTCCCACTTACCAGGTAAATAAGAGGAAATGACTAATCTAACAAATCTTTCATCACACCGGTTTTGTGCCGCCTTCATGGTTGCAAATTATCTGCATATCAAAAAAGGACTGCTGGGGGTAGCTTGGGAAGAAGGGGGGCGAGGGGGGGTAGGCCCGCGGCAGGTTTACATGCTGTAAATATGTTTTGCTGTGAATTGGGCTGCCGTCTGTTGAGGGCTGCATGAACTGAAGTCAACTTGACCAAGTAAGAATTAGATCAAGAACTCTATTGATAGGCTGACAGAAGCCTTCTACAGGTAGGGCCGATCTAGTAAAGCCGCCTTGTTAGTTATAGAATCCATTGTTGCCTTAACCCGACACCATTCCGATTCCGTCCAATCTTGTCCGCGCGGACAAGATTGGACGGAATCGAAATGGTGTGCGCTTTGACCTGCTTTGACCTTGAAGTGAGTTAATTGTGTTCAATCAATAATCGAGACACTGACCTTCCCTATCGGCTTTGACATAACAAATGGGACACTAGTGCCCTGTGCCTGGAATCTTGGGTGGTCTCCATAGCTCATCATTCCGTGGCGACTGTCTACTTCGTATTTTCTTTCTGCAAGGAAAATTTTAAATTTCTTGTGATGTGGGATGAATCCAGTTCTAACAATAACCGGCGTTCATATTTGGGGACTACATGAAGAAAGGACCAGAGACCAAAAGACACTCAGCAAGCCTCTACATACTGTTAGGAATCATCTTCCCTTCTTTTTTAATGCTTACGTATACATGCCGTTACTTCATTGCTGCTCACTTCCTCTGATCCTCAGGGAGATATTAGATTTCTCCCAATTTGAGTAGAAGTTCTTGCAACCTAACATCACCAGCCCATTGAGATAGACGATTTTGACGCCAGACATCCCAGTCAAATTCCAATCTGCTCTCTTCAGCCGTAGACATGATACCTCGGAATAAAGCAACTGCTTCATCCCAAGACATGTCCATGCCCATTCCAAGGCCAAATGAGAAGCGGCGAACTAGATCAGGGCCACCGGCAAAGCGAACTAGATGCTTGTTCTTGGTCTGTAGAGCCTCGGCCAGGAGCGTGTCACCCCGGGATCGGCCAGCCTTGCCCTCGTATATGTCACTCATTTCTGCTGTCAACAGCGAGGGACCAAATGCCTCGTAGATTGGCACCGCCCTAGCAAACGTCCAGTCGATAAGGCCAGTGACATTAAAATTCTCATCCACCAGTATATGGTCACCTTTGTCATCCATGTGTTTCAAAAAAAAGGGACCGTTGTCAATGCTCGATTCAAATGCATTCCAATGACCTTGTTCCGCTAGTTCTTTGAGGTATCTGAAGATCAGGTAGGCATTGATGGAGTACCGTGTAAAGAGCTGGCGGTCGCAGATTAGTTCGAGATATCTCTCCGCCCAAGTTGCGTAGTATTCCTGCGCATTGCGAAAAGGTCCCATCTGCGAAAATGTGCCCGACCGATCGCTCACGATGGGGCCCATACAGATAGTACCATTGGGTTGTAAAGAGAGAGAACCAATTTGCTCCAGTGGGTACTTATTGATAGTACACAAGATATCAGCGTAGTTATTGTACAGTTTGCGTAACTGCTCTTCTGACGGGCTAAGAAAAAGCAGAGGTGTCCCAGGGAGTTCCTCTATTAGCATGTAGGCAACGCCAACATCATTCTCAGGATCATTGCGAAGACCGAAGTCGTAGAGTTTAGGAGACGGGACGTTAATATCCTTGAGCCATTTCAAAGTGGCACATTCGCTTTTTAAGCAGAGATTGCTGAAGTTGTCCGAGAATGAAGTGTAGTTTTGTCGGAGTATCCGAGCCAGCCAGGCCGTTCCATCGCTAAAAATGATTCGAAGATGGATGTGCATGCCACCCATTCGCTTCTCTCCAAGAGGATCCAAAGGATCCAATTTGCAATCCAGGTTTCTGTTGCGCTCTGAAGCTCGACGCAAGAGATTTTTGTCATTGATCATGCGTCGAAGTGCTTTTACTTCTGCTGTCTGTGCAGCCCCCCATGCATCGTCATCAAGAGGGTCATTCTGGGATCGGAATTAGAAAACGCTTCCAGAAAGTAAGGCTTAGCATACCTTGCAGCAATGAGTTGGGGGCCTGGCATGAACGGCGCAAAAATGTTGCCTACAGCGTTCGCAGATACCAACATCGATCGCAGCAGCAGCGGAACATTCGGAGAGACAACAAGTCCAGAAACGAAAAGTTTCGGACATATTGGGGTGCATACAGCTTTTGCCTTGTAGATTTCGAGGGGTAGTCCGGAAAAGAATTTCGAGAATAGGGTAGTGGGTTACTCAACTCCCTAATGAAATTCTTCTTTAATTGGACTGTTGTGTCACGTGAGCACGAAGGCCGCAGGAGTCGGTGAGATTGACATGCGTGATGAGTTATATGAAATAATCTAGCCATATTCAAATGTAGATCTTACTTGGTACTGATTTTAATGACACACTTTCCATTCAAATGACCATACGGATCGTAAAGTTAAGAAATCGGCGCATCTAGGAGGTCCGACCACCTTAAACTGGCGACATTGATGGCTATGAAGATTGTTATCGCGTGCATGGTCTTGTGGCACGAAGACCCAGCATATGGTCACATAAGCACTTGAATAGACCAGTAGTTGGTCAAGTATTGCACTAACTTCCATTTATGTTTAGTCCAATTTTTTCCGCGCGGACAAGATTGGACCAAATAGGAATGGTGTGATGCAAACCCTGAGCCTGTGCGTAAAATACAACCAAGCTTGGAATTGTCTAGACAAGAGAGATAATTTCACACGCACTATGAAGCCAAGGAGGAAACGCATGCTCAATCAGCCCCCTTTTTTTAGGTCCAAATATTTGCCTTCCTACGCCCTCTAGAATTTCTCCAATATAAAAGTAGAAAGAGATCCCCTTGAAACTCCTCCCATCATAACATCTTCCATCACTACTCCTCAAACTATCTACCACCCAATTTCAACGATCTCCGAATTCATCATGTCCCACAACGTTGAATCGATTCCCGTCGACGCTACCTCGTCGACTAGCTCACAGCCAATGAATGACGTTGCCTCAAGCCAGCGTTGCGCTGTGGCTAACTGTGGGAAATGGGCCGTTGCTCAGTCCCGTTTTTGTGCCGATCGTAAGTGAATTGAGATGCCATGTCACAAAATCATTAATGTAATGGCAAATTACGAATAGACAAACCCGCTCCCGCTCCGACTTGCTGTGCGTGAGCATGTTGTGGACGGACCTTTTTCTGGCGAAGATCTCGTCTGATTAAATCAATAGCAGTGTGTGATGTGTGTCGGTTGCTTCATAATGAGCTGGTGAGATAAATCATAGAAATGTCAATCAAAATTGGCCGTGAAAGTACTAGTAAGAGTGTAGTTGAAAAGAAGATCCCTATTGTTCCAGCACTGAGAAAGATAGTATGTGCCACATCTGTGTGTAATTAATGTTGAGGTTCATATTACCTGCGAAACAACATTGATGTGGCTGTGTACTGAGGAAAATTAAGACATCGGACCAATGGCGGACAAACGTGCGGGCCCCTAAACCCCTGCCCCCAACGTGCAATGGACGGTATAAACTCATGCACTGGATGGTCTTGTGTTGATAGTTTACATAAGACGAAAATATCGATGGGGTTCACAATAACATGACTCGATCGAACACTTGTGCCAACAACGGACGAGTCACAACCAAGGCATCCGGCAACATCCACACCCCGCAAATGATAGCCGACCAAAACGCTGTATGTCAGCAATGAGCCTCTAGAACTCAAGCGTGATCAAAACATCACCGCTCGCCATAATCCATGATCACTTACGCTGGCAAGAAGCGAGGGTGCTCACTTTTCATAAGTTTCTGGCGTTTGAAAAGATTACCAACCACCTAATATTGAGACGTGCTCACATTCAGTTCCCTCTAGCAATAGTCAGGTTTGAATTGGAGCTTGTGCTGTCTTTTTGGTACGGGGGCCTAAATCTGTGGTAGGGGACTTCTTGGTCCTCGATCGTCTAGTCTTCGTTTTCAAGAGAAGAAGCCAGATGACAAATTTGTTTGAGGTGAAGGCAAGTCAATAATTTTGTCATCCCACAACTGGGAAATTCTGTCATCTAAATTTTAACATATATTAAAAATCGCTTGAGGGATGGTAAGCTTCCTCAACGGGAGGAGATATGAGACAGTAATGTTTCTATGCCCAATGCGAAAGATGCTGCAGTGGGAGCCTGGCAAGCGTAGCTTTGTTAGGGAGCCGACGAAGGACAAATGGGTACAAGCATTCGTAATTATTTATCGAGGGATAAAATCTACATGGGGCTTATAAGAATGGTCCTATTTAGGAGTATTGAGCAAGGCAAGCGAAGCCCGTTCTGTATGAGGTATTTTCCCGGGATGCTAACGCCATATTCCAGGAGCGTTCGGTTTCCAGAAACCAAGTACAGAGCTCCGGGAACATACGTCAAAATCCCAGAAACCCGTAGCTTAGCGCTGGTCGAAGTCGATCATTTATGCGAATGCCACCGACACCCACATGGTAAGCTAACCGGCAATTTCGAAGCATTGCTTTTGGAAGGTGTGTAATTAGATAGCAATAGAATCGAAAAATGTTTCATTTGATTTCGTCAACCTGAAATGGTAAGATATTCGAAAAAGGTTCCGGCAGAGACAAAATTGAAACGTCGTGCCCTGAACTTTTCATCGCACAGCATTTACTCTTCCTGGGGGAGCCATGTTCATGAGAGCGAGGATAATAGTATGGGGCAGAGCCGATAAAACCTGGCTGGGCCTTTGTTCCACTTTGGTGGCTGCATTAGTGTTGCCGCCAGGGGCCGTGAGGTTGGTTCATAGCCAATAGATAAACGCCCCCATGGCTGTTCACTGGTGGTCAGCGGTCGAACTGCATATTAATTGTAATGCCTGGGATTTTCATTATGGGGACTGAGTCTGCTAGTGCGGACCTATCACACGTTAGTCATTATTTCGCCCCTGGGTTTTATTTTAGAGGCAGTAGGTGTGGCCTCGCTTTCTCCGCACCAATTCCAAAGTCACCCAACATGGGCATCACAGAAAGCAAAATAATTCTTGGGAAGTTGACGACAGCGTGTTCGGTCGCAGAAGAAAATGGACATAGCCAAGTCCAGGAGATTCTGTCAGACAAGCAAGTTGGTAGTCCTTCTCCGAAATTCAGTCTGAGTCTAATTATCGACAGTTTGTGAACAGTCTTGCAAAACTCTGGAAGCACCTGCCTGAATGTTCGAAAGAGCAAATTTATTCACCCGGTCGAAAGCGCATCAAAAACAGATTGAAAAAGTCTAAAACTGAGAGAATACACATATCTGAGTCTTTGCAATCAAATATCGATTTGTGGTCAAAAGATCACCACTCCTTTTTAGATCCCAAGCGCAGCACGGAATATTCCTCAGCTGTGGCTTGTCCGATTGCAACGATCTACAAAGGACTTACGGAAGCAGAAACTCGCAGCTCTGCAGATTTGATACGTTTGCGCTTTCTGAAGGTCCTTTTTTATCATTTGCAAGACAGGTTCTGTGTAACCTATCTTCGACTTAACTCGGTCGAATGGATGACTCGCAGAATTATCGCGGCAGGATTGGATAGCAGTGACGCAGAGAAGATCTCTCTGAAAATCAAAGACTGGGCCTGCGTTGGAGCAAGATATGATGCATTGTGCAGAGAACTAGGAAGCTACAATGTGGCGCAAGATTACAGATATCTGGGCAATTTGTTTCGACTGCCTAGCGACTTCACAGATAGATTGTGAGTAAAACGCAAGGCCAAGGAATTAATACTGACTTCACCAGCATGTTGAAAGAACTTACAGTCAAAGGAGTGAAAAGGGAGGTGGTGATCGGTTCACTGCTGCGTCGTGGTATCTGCAATTTGGAACAAAACACGGTCATTGACAACCTGGCGAATAAGGTTTTCAGATCTTTATGGGATAGGATCGAGTTATCTGTTCAATCTGAACAGGGAGAAGATGGAAGCTTATTCAGTTCTTTGCAAGGTGGGTATCTAACAACTGTCTGCGTTCATTCGTTAATAAAATCTTCAATCAGACTGGCGCTGCCTACAAGGCACTCGGGCTTTTAGGCTTCAAAATGACGGTTGTCCAATTCCAAACTCGGTCCCGAATCTGGAATATATTTCATCATCCACATCCTCGACCTTTGAGAGCCAATGCGCACCTGTTTGCGTCAACATCAGCCAACGAGGCTTGAGTGGTTCTGTAATCCAGATTGAGGAACCATCAAATGGAAGTAGACTACAATCTTCCGAACGCCCTTCACATGCGTATAACGCAATGTTTGAAGGTGCCAGGCAAAGCTTGGATGGGCCTGGGAACGAAGAGACCGCCAACCAGCCCTCGGCTTGCGGGTTTGACTACTATGAGCCTGTCGCGTGGGTTTCAGACCAGCTTTACAATCAGGACCACTTATACCTTCAGGATGCAAGCATTCCTTACCAGACCTCGGTTCGCGGGTTTGACAACTATGAAGCTGGGTCTGTGGCGCGGGGTTCAGGTCAACTTTACAATCAGAACCATGGATGTCATCAGGGTGCAAGCGTTCCTTACCAGACCTCGGTTCGCGGGTTTGACAACTATGACGCTGAGCCCATCGCGTGGGATTCAGGTCAGCGTTACAGTCAGGACGCACGGACGCCCTCGGGTGCGAGCGTTCCTTGTGAGAAATTGGCTCACGAGCCTAACAACCCTGTCCTGCATCTATTGGAGGGAGGTTCCGTATAGCAATCCTCGGTGACCTCCATATCAGCGAGCGCAGTCTACTGATTTGGAAATCATAGTTTACTAAATGTACCAAATATAATGCACTTCCCAGAACTCTATATATACTTCGAAATTGATACAAATGCGAACAATAAGGATGAACATAAGGAGCATCACTTAGAGTCGATAATAAGCGCCACCAGTTTGGAACCTTCAGGCACATCGATATAGCACGGCCTTTGGATATGGTAATGATTTTTTTCATCCAAGTGGAGATCTTCGACCTGCACTTCACCAACTATGTGTAAAGGAATAACCATTGTGAACGATTCCCCGACTAACGATTCCCCGACTAACGATTTGCCTGGGAAAAAAACATATCCACCTGTCTTGAATTGCGACGTGTTGATCGATTCGGTAGGGTTCGTCTGCAGTGAAGGAGTCGGGCGTCATTAAATGCGAAAATTAGAAAATTCCCAGTCCGGGAAGTTGTACTTACCTTGAGATATTCTGCGATGGCAGCATTAATGGGAGCATGGCACGCCGGAAAATCTGTGGGAAAGAACCGCTTGAAAGTTGAGTGCGAGGACCTTGCCAGTGATTCGGCGACAGGGCGGACTTCATTCCAAGCTTGGCCAACACTGTTTATGACGCCAGCAGATGAAAGTGGTGTCACTGGCTTTTGGTCTGTAGACATTGGTGGTTGTTGCGCAGAACGGCGTCGAACGTATCGTGGTTGGAGTCGAGGACAGTCGACGGTTTTGATCAATGAATCGATTTTCGATTATTTCATGTCATGCATTCAATAAAGGCTGTGTTCAGGACCTTGGGGCTTGTGCCGTAAATGAGAAAAAGGTGACTTCCCGGAATTTAGGGAGGGGTTGCTCGTGGGGGAGGGGAGGGTCTCGTGACTTTGGCGACAAATCAATCCCAAAAACTAGCAGTTGGGCAGCTTCAAAGGACTCTCTACTTGATGTTAGTTGATGGCTGTCGTCATTCGTCTACTATTGAGAGTGAAGTGATTCTATTTGATATAAGCGGGCTCGCTTACGTGGATGTCTTATCTCTGCCTTCTACACATGTAGGTTTTGTAGAACGGCGAGAGCGGTAAGCAAGTCGGTAGGGTTATATCGGGGTTAAAACAAAACACAACTATTGTTGCTCACCGCCCTAATCGCTCCGCGGAGTCCACTCCATGTTCGATCTGTGGTATTACCATTTTCACAGCAATGAATACATTTCATCTATTCAAAGCTGGAGACGTGTTATCCTGACATCCATCTAAATCTAAAGACACCATGATAGCGGTGGAAGATGAGGGCCGTCTCTTGGGTCTTGCTAGAGTCATTGGTGACTGCATTGATGAAGACAATTGTAAGTGATGTCGTCGGTAAGATATGACCACGAAGCTAACTGATCGTCTCGTCTCAAGGGAAGATGCTCCAAACTCTATGAACAGGTAATTCATAACAACTTGTCCAAGTAGTTCAAGCCTTGCTGACTTAGATCGTACAAGAGGACACCCCTAATATTGCCTTCACTCGATTGCGAAGGGAGAAATTGCCCTGCCTCCCTCGAGCTCTCCTATACCGATGCGATCGCATGCTGTCTATCCCTTCCTCATGACCACTGGTGGCATGGACGAGAAACGACTGGAATGTTCACATTGTCTCGGCCCTTCTCTCAGTCGACAGTATGCACCAGTCAGGTGCTGATGTGTCTACCGATACAAAGCCCAAGGCATAATGGGCTAAACCACTGTCTATCTCGGTATTCGAACACCGCGAAAGAATAGGTTCCTTGTGGATCGAATTCCTGGCGTCCAATGGGTGATGCTCATTGTCCTCGGTTGGCATCTCGCGTCTTTTCAGTCCTGGAACTCTAAGAGACCGAGGAATACTGGTGGCTTTGTCCACAGCCCGGCCCTTTGGAAGCAACGGCTGGAGAGTGCGGTGAACCAGAATACAACATGGCATGAATGGTGCTGCATTGCCTTGCCGAAGAGGATTGTAAGTGGTCTAGTTGGCAAGTTCATATGACCACGAAGCTTACTGATCCTCTCGTCTCAAGCGTATACAGCGTGTCCTCCGCAAACTCTATGAACAGGTAAGTCTTAACAACTCGTCCAAGTGGTAAGCCTTGCTGACCCTTATCGTACAACAGGACGCCCTCATTTTCTCTGCTCGAGCTCCCCTCTACCGATGCGATCGCATACTGTCTATCATTTCCACATAACTACTCGTGGCATCAATGATGAGCCAACTTAAGGTCCAGATCGTCGGCCCTTCTCTCAGTCGACTCTGTATCAGTCATGTGCTAATGTGTCTACCCGATGCAAGGCTCAGGCCACAATGGGCCTGTACTACCGTGCCTCGGCATTCGAACACCGCGAAAGAACAGCCTCCTTGTGGATGAAACTCCTGACATCCAATGGGTGATCCTCATTATCCTCGATTCGCATCTCACGTCTTTTGATGCCTGGCAGCTCGACAGGCACCGGGGTGAGCTCATATTTTAGTCTGGCTCATGGCGAACGAATCCTACTTTTGCCGACGAGCAGGCTGCGAGTCTAAGTCTGCGTGCAAGGAGAAGGTGAGGCGGACCCCATTACTTCGAGCCTACAGATGAACATTGGCCATATCAGGTACGAACCGATAAAAGGAGGCGGTAGGGTGTCGAGTCATAGCCGAGTCAACTAGAGAGCACGAGCAAAGAGATGCCGTCCGATAGTTTTACCTGATCCTACTCCGCGTTGCTGAGCCGGTCGATGTATTCCAGCGGGTGGAGCTAACAAGCGGAAACGAGCGAGCGGGAGAGACCAACCGGACATACACGGCGCTGCATCGAAGGCACTGTCAGACTCTTGTGGTGTCTTTGGTGATCTTGGTATTCTTGATGCCTAGGCACACTTTTCTTTCCTATCCAAGTGAGAGCAACATGTGCAACATGTGCAACATGTGCAAAGGTGATTTACCCTCGAGGTCACTGCAGCTGCAAGTCAGCAGTGCGTCCTCTACGTCGAATGTCCTTGGGCATGGCTTATTTGCAGGCACTGCGCTTCGATGACATTTGGCATATCACCGTTCGAGCTGATCCTTTGTGAAGGTGGGTTTCTGTACAACTTTACTCAGAGCCATCCTCTGTGCGACCTCTCTGACTATCTATGACAGCCTATGCTAAAATCTCTACCCCCAATCAGCATTCATATGATTGCTTTCGGCGGGATTGGTAACGCACATGTCTGCTGCGGCTCCAAGCCAAGTAGATCACATCACAAAAGTCCGTCGTAAATGTTGGCGCAGTCGTCCTTACAGGCCTGGTCAAGATGGCGCTTGCTAGACCCCAATCCGGCTGCCTCCTTGTTCTCTAGGCAGTAGAGTATGCTCGATCGCGTGAACTCGGGTACTATTCCCAGAAAGCAATGGCGATCGCTTTGGGTGCAGTAGTCGATGTTGATAACGGGATAGGACAGGCGATATAAATTGTAGTTGCTAACGGGGTTATTCACGGGTTTCCGATGGCTCTCATGTAGAAGCAGCCAATCGGAAATTTTCGAGCCAATCCCCTCAATTTCTTCGCTGTCTTTATTGGGAATCCACTTTGACTCGCGACCGTTGTGGTTGTAGGCATTCTACAGCAGAGTAGGAGTGAGTGGCTTGCAAGCCGCCTGAGGCGGCCAATTCGACTACGCAAGGAACAGTCTATCGCATCACCGTGATTATCTGAGCAACAAAATGTATTTCGAGCGCTCTTTCAATGCTTCATCTAGACCTGGTAGGTCTGATCGTGGGTTTTTGCCTCATTATAGCTTCACCGAGGGATATTGGTGTTTGCATTGGACCAGCTCAATCGAATTGGAGGCTGTGTGCCAAAAAATACTGAGTAAACACCAGGGGATCATCGTAGCAAGTGATGCCAAATGGTGCAGAATGAAACAATGAAACCGATATTTCTGTCATATGTAGACTTCCGGACCGGCAAAAGCCCAAGGCCCAACCCGACCCCAACCTACAGATATTCTATGGGCCTAAGGTAGAAGTTCCCTGGGCTTTCGTGGGGCCCAATATAAACATGCCAATTCTTGGCATTTGCATAAGTAGTGTAGATTTTCCCAGTATCAATTATCTGTAAAAAAGGACACCCATTGTGAGAAATTAGCTAGCTTTGGGTATAAAGTTGAGTTCTATAACCTAAAAATGAGGGTTTCCACAATTGAAAATGTCATACTTGAATAGGAAGATGCGCCTACTTCTGCTTTTATGAAATATATATAACTATGTGCTGGCGCTCATGAATTCTTTAAGTGCCAGAATAGTTCAAAATCCTGGTAAAACTCGACTTTTTCTTGGTAATTCCTATACAAACGGGTCTTAAGTGTCGCCATTGTTTTCCATGACTTTTATTGCCAGGTCGTTGCCGTTGATACTTGATATCTTGCTTCTTGGACTAGTTGAACCCCCGGATTGGGCCAGGGAAAACGTCGGGCCGATATCTGGGCTTACAGACTAGTTAGAACATGCATAAAAAAAGACATTAATCAGCAGGGTTATGAATGCCAAGACGGTAGTTGTGTGCATAGAAATGGGCTTGGTTGGGCTTTGCTGAAGTCTAGTGACCATTACTCAACATCACCGCCTGGCCATATACCACAATACACACATCAACACCCTCGTCCATACTATCGTCAACGACCATTAATGACCATCAACACCCATCAACGTTCATCAACGACCACCAACGTTCATCAACGATCACCAACGCTCATCAACGCCCGGTCAACACATCCACGACGCACCAAGATACTCATCATTTTGTCCGCTCCACGCCCTGATGGCAGATACATTCTATTGCGGCGGGAAGACTAGCCGGCCGCAAACCGTGAAGCCAGGAGCGTTGGGAATACGGCTCTCGATAACGAAGGTTGAATCATGAAGTTACGATTCTGATATTGGTTTGCTTCTATCTAGGGCTCATTTGATTTCTCCAATGACGATCATTCGAAATACAAAATACATCATCAAGATGGTGCGCAGGTCTTTGCTTCTTCGAGTACTCTTGATACTCGAATACTGGTCCCTAGCACCACGAAGAGGTGCCTGCACGGGCTAGAGGGTCTTTTTGTCGCAGATGTCCCTGCGGAGACTCTTGGTGTCGCAGATGTCCCTGCGAGGATTGTTGTTGACGCAGGCCCTAGTCTGCGGAGAACTTGGTAATGCAGCGGTCTCCTGCAGAGAACTTGTCAACGCAGCGGTCTCCTGCGGGTCTTAATTGTCATCACAGCGTCCCCCTGCGGAGTTCACTTGGTAACGCAGCGCCCCCCTGCGAGGATTGTTGTTGACGCAGAGCCCGTCCTGCGAAGCACATTTTTACAATCACAGGGCTCATTGGCTGTGAGGTAGCGCAAGTCTTACATCGCTGGGCTCGTGGCAGCGACAGCCGTGGCCATGGAGACTCTCAAACCCGCAGGCAAGAAGGAAACCATGACACATCGGAGTGTGAGGACCGAAGTCCTGATTTTTTTGGGCTGGGAATCCGGCCCCTCTTATAATTCTTTCGGCTACGTCTCGACCAAGGAACCAGTTGCGCAGTTGGTAGCGAGAATCATTGTCTTGTTATTGTCGTTGAAGACATTTGAACAACGTTGAAATGGTGTTAGGAGACTTCGTGGCCTACAAAGTCAAGTTTCAACCTGGATTCATTGCGTTCAAAACCTGCGTTGAGTGTGATGAACCACTTTCATCAACTGTTGAGAAGGCAGTGATACCGCAAGAAAATGATTCTCACATCATTGAAATTGCAATTAAATCGCTCAACGCGGTGGCACTCTACATCTGCCCGTTTTAGCCACGGTCACCGCCTCTTTCATGAGGGTTGAAGTACTTCAACAGATGCCGAATGATGGGTTGGACACTGTAGCAGACAGTGACATTCGATTGTACCGGCTGTCGGCCATAGGACGTGCCTCCCACTGATCCCGCTACAATCCACTTTGCCTAGCCTCGCGCGAACTGTACCTTTCTATGTTGCTCGCAACCAACTGATGTTGCCTCCACTGATACTTCTGCTACCGGTCAGTACAGACACTTTGGACATATTCCTAAACCCAGGGTATTGGATTTCTCGCTGACGGATAATCAGAAGTCGAGAATGTGTTGGAAAACCCAGAATAAAAACCCGAGTCCAGTTCTCAGGACAATGAAATGAGTTATTTCAGCTACCATGGCTCACAATTTAGATTCTCATGATCGCCACCTCCTCGCAGGATTGCAATGCTACTTATGGTGAGTGTTGATGGTGAGTGTTGATGGTGAGTGTTGATGGTGAGTGTTGATGGTGAGTGTTGATGGTGAGTGTTGATGGTGAGTGTTGATGGTGAGTGTTGATGGTGAGTGTTGATGGTGAGTGTTGATGGTGAGTGTTGATGGTGAGTGTTGATGGTGAGTGTTGATGGTGAGCGTTGATGGTGAGTGTTGATGGTGAGCATAGCTGCAGACCAAAACGAGCGCGATGTCGCTGTAATGCCATTTGGATGCTCCATCCATTCGTGACCGACTTTATCTTTCGACAGTTCCCAGACCTAGCTTCTTCTCTCACTATTCACTAAAATCCCAATGACAATCTAGCGAGCTTCAATCTCAATTTCCTATTGTGCATACAGCCTGGGATTTACTCGCAAACTTGAGCCATTCCTGCTCCATCTCCTGCTTCTTGCAAACTTTACTCAACGATATTGCTCTTGCCAATCGTTGTTCTTTTTTCAACCCAAAAGCCTTTTCCAAATGACACCACCGGACAATTCGTCTACTGAGAGCCGCATGCACACCCTGTTTGCGGACTTCCAAAAACCAATTGAGACTTCCGACAGAGCCAGAGTCTCTGCAGAGCCCAGAGTGCCATCTCAGAAGATACCTCGCTCGATACCTAAGAACCGTGAGCGTACCTCGCCCCGCCGAGATAGACCTGAACATGGACAACTCAAAAGAGTGCGATTCGAGCCAGCTTCAGGAGTCCCGTTGAAGGAATCCGTGCTATCCGGCGCGCACACGCCGGAGAAGTCCATAGCTAGCTGGTCAGTTTTCTTTCTCGTTGCCCCCTCTCCTCCCATCATCAGCACCCCTGTCCTCTTGCTAATTTATTACGCAGGCCGAGCAGGCGAAAAAGGTGTGTCACTTAGCATTCATCAATGCTCACTTCAAACGCGACAGCTTGTTGGCGGTAGGACTGATACGTACAAACAATAGGTCACTTCGCGGAAAAGTTAAACTACACGAACGACAAAGTCGTCGCAACGGAGGAAATTCCCCTCAAAGTATGGAGAAAAAAGGTGATATTGAAGCCCTCGGAACGGAAGTCAAGAGCTTCAAAAGGGAATTGGAAACCATGCGATCCTGCAGATCGGATGCTCGCAGCAGCGAACAAGACAAACACAGATATCTGTAAGGCCCCACCCGAAGTGGGTACGTCCAGTTACCGCCATTCAATTCCCTGCTTTCCATCTTGGGGATCGCCCTTGCAATCCAGCCAAGATGCCTGCGAGAAGACCGCAAGTAGCGACTTTACTACGTCTGCACTCAGCTCGTCGCCGGCTTGATCGTTCTCTCCTTGGAGGGCTATCTTGCCATGTTCACAGTTTTCAGGCATCATTCGGGTTATTTGACAGTGAGGGTTATTTTCCGTACTACAAGATTATGTATTATGGAGCCGTTGGCTAGGCGGCTTTCGGAGTTTTATCGGTCATTATGTCTCTCGTGCCTTTTGCCATATGCGCCTTACGCGGACACTAGCAGAGTGCGCACACGGACCTATGAAACAGGCACAGAGGGTTCCATCGATCTCCTAAAGTAGGGGTGAGGAACTAGTCAACCGGTAAAGGAATGGACTCTACTGCAGAGTTGGTGAGATAATTTACCAATTGAATTTCTTGATTGAAACCAAAGCATGTTCATCGCTTGATCTGGCTAGCCAACCAATCGTGGCCAATATTGGAGCAGTATGCTGGGTGGCTTGATGTAGCAAGCAGGTGATGGTTGACGACCTGCTGTGCGTAAATAACCCTCAACCTTGGTGGCCGCCAAGATTTCAAAAGCCGACCGGAGAAATGAGCTGCCCAGGGATCACAAAGCCCCAGGAAATCGTACGTAGCTTGCAGAATCTCCATTCCCATCCTCACAAAATCAGTCACACGCCTGTTGACAGTTCTATCGGCCCTGGGGATGCATATCTTGGCCCTAGGAGCTCTCTCGCTCCCAGGGGCTTTAGTGCAGTTTTTGGGGGCAAGAAAGCAGCTTCTGGGAGCCACGTAGCCACCTGTGAGGGTCTCACGTATCCGTAGATGAGTGATCAATATTAAAGAAAGCTACAGTCGACTCTAGATACAAGACGTAGCGCGAGGAAGCAAAAGAAAGGTAGCTTCCTCGCGTTCAGGGGAACCGATATGCACCATGTGGGTCCTGCGCAGATCATTTCTCCATCCATCCTTTAGGCTTCATGTATATCCCTGACATATATCCCTGACACTCCTAGAACTGCTTTTGGCGTTTCCAGGATCAATTCGTTGACTCTCAGAATTAGATTAACAGAGTTTTTCGTTTTAATATTGTCAGAGCCTTACCACTAGTAAGCTCTTGGATACACCAGAACTCGCATTTGTGTTTTGTATGGTAAATTGGTTACACTAGCCATTCCGGTGCTGTAATCACCGAGTATCGGCATATCTGAGGAGTATTTCGACCTGCCCTCGATCGCTTGTGTATTCGGGAACCAATCAACTCTTTCATCCTGGAGGGGTTCCGCTTGATGTTATTCGCTCTGGATGCATGCTAGTCTGAACGCTTTTACTTTATTCTGATAAGATATTTAAAGTTGTGGTAGCCTCTACTTTCCTTCGACCGTTCGAATCTAAACGAAACCCATTAGGCCGAGAAGAGATTCGTATTTTAGTTTAGTTGGGAGATCGACTTCGATGAGCAAGGTAAATAAATTACACAAACCCACATCATGTATCGAGATGAACATAGTTCATTTTCATATATAACAATTTATCTTTAAAGTTCACGCAAAACAGCCTTCCAGCAACCAGAATGATCTATCTATCGACAATAAAATCACCTTCAACCCGTAAAAACCCCCATTAAACCAAGATCGCTGCTGTCCTGCATTGGGCCTCCATCTATCGCAAAAACAGGCAGAAGAAGAGGCTTTGGGTGAGATAAAGCGGCCCATTCTCCAGCGCACGACGTCGACTAAAGATAATTCCCAACGCAATAAGGTTTTGCGTTTTTCAAAGCAATTGGGCTCGTGATACATTCAAGTGGAGGGTCCCCTGTATGCTTGTACTCTATCCCGCCATTCTCGAATACCGGTCGGAAGGAAAGGTTTCGGTAAAGCTTTAGTTGCATTTCGTCAAGACGGAGGTCTGGGTGATCTGGGCTGGTGAATATCCAGCAGTTGTTCCCAACAAAGTCCTTGCCTCTATGGTGTTTCCATTCTGGCCTCGGCTTCCAGTCGTGATAGAAAATTTTCTTATCTAGTGCTGACTGAGGCGTGCACAATGGTACGTGATTCAGTTCGAATTTTTTGGTACGGTGCTTTTTCCGAGCTCTGGTAAGAACGTTCAAAACCCTTCCCATGATATCGGTCTGCTTTCTGGAAGAGATATTCCCACCAAAACAGTAGAGATATATCTTTGGCAGATCAAGTTGCTGTCAGTCAAATGCAGTCTTTTTCTTTTTTTAAAGATCATATGTAGGAGGCCAATGCCCCTATTTATGTCTTTCAGAGAGGACATATCATGCCGCTTTCAAGGCTGGAGAAATAAATGCTCTATCAGAACCAGATAAATGTATTTTGAAGCATTTTCTTGCGAATTGAGAATACACATGACAGCATTAGCGATTTTTATGAAGTATCACCTCATAAAAGGCGACATAAATTAGACATCTCACGCCTCATGAAACTTGGAGCAACCTACTATTTTGCGGGCGACACTAAGATCTCAAGAGCGTGAAAGAATATACAACATCAATTGAGTGAGGGTCACACAATCTTGCGCCTTCACATATCTATATATTGATAGATGTTAGTAGCCTGCTATTATCATCGTGCCTCTCGGAATTAACCGTGGAATTCGTAAAGCTGTAGGGTCTCAGATAGATACTGTAACTATCCCAATAGAATTTGAAATGGCACTCTTCCTGCCTCCATTGCTTCCAATGATTTTTACTGCGAACTTTTTGTGAGCGTTCTACAATATTCCAATTGTCAGACTTCTAAGGAGTTCGGTGAAAGGGAAAGGGAAAGCGTTGTCTGATTGAACTAGATATCCTCAACAAGCGTTCATCTCTGACCCTCAAGATCGTGAGGTTCGATGAGTTTCCCGACCAACGAGTCCTAGCTTTCAACACACTGTTAAAACCCCTCCTGAAAATCAACCAAATTTTAGTCAGAATAGAGATTTCATTACGGTATAGGAGATGGTCAAAGAGGCACCACAACCGGATGGCCCCGGGTGGTGTTTCACAGACATGTAACCCACCTTCGCGGTGATTCTGTCGCAGTGTCTGTCAACTAATGGATGCTCAAGAACAGTCGATGTAGGGGACATGGGATCGCAATATAAATCGTAGTTGCTGGCGGGGATTACTGACAAAGGTGCGACAGCTCCCATTTGTAGAAGGACCCGATCGAATATTCTTATGCCAAAAAAATCCTCAGTAACTTAGTTGGCTTTGCTGCGAATCAAATTTAACTATCGCGACCGTTCTAGGATGTAAGCATTCTACAGTAGAGTAGGATTGAGTGCCTTGCAAGCCGCCAGAAGCGATAGATTTGACTACACGAGGAACAGTATATCGCATCACCATAATTATTTGAGCCAACAAACCGTATTTCGAGCGCTTCTCATCAGATACTTCTACACCTGGTTAGTCTGACCTTGAGCGTATTGCCTGATTATAGCTGAACCAATGGAGGGAAATCCGGTGTTTGCATTCGACCAGCTCAATCGAAATGGAGGCCGTGTGCCAACTTCACCGAGTGATCAGCTGGGGACAAATGACGCGAAATTGGAACAATGCAAAGTGTTGTGATATGAGGCTGGTGCAGATCAGGAACCAAGCCGCACTGTCGGAATTAGCTCCGAAGTGTCCATGCAAACGAGCAAGTTGATTGGAAATCAACTTGGCTCATCATTGTATATATAGGCTCATGTATCCTTTTGAGATAATAAGTCAATTTATAGCTCTGAGCTACAACAGTCATGAGGAAGGGACAGATAGCTTGCAATCGCAACAGTATAGGGGAGCTCGAGCCGACAAGATCGTTCGCATCGCATTCGACTCGAGTGACGGGGATATAAGGGGCGCTGTTGTACGACCCGAGTCAAGCTTACCACTGTTGCCAAAGGGAATGTGACCGAGCTTTGTGTGAAAAGAGTGTCTCCAGGCTATCAAAGATCTCTTGGGTCCAACACCGGCCACGATCGGCTGGCAAGCCAGGCAGACCAAGCAAGCCAGATGTTTTGAACCCATCAAAATGGTCATCT